TAATAGGGCATTATGTAAAATTGTGGATGTGTAACCGACGTGATTCTGCAATCTGCATTTGGGGTAAAATTGGGAGTTCATAACCCACTTCAATCTAATGCATGAAATATGATATGTCAAGAGCTTTGTAATGTTGTGAACAACCAATAAAAAAATACATCATTAAAAAAAATATGGATATACTAGAAGTCGATATACAACCATAATATGGAGTGGAGTTATCCTAGGTGTTTAAAGAAAAATTTTTAAAAATAGTTATATGAAATTTTGTTAAAATTTAATTGTTTAATTAAAATGTTAAATTTATTAATTGAACAAATAGTAGTCAATTAAACTTAAATCTTATGGACACATTTTGTTCTACTAATATCACCTCAAGTAATCTTTTTTCAATTTTAAACAGAGTTACGAGGCATAATTTACATATTATAAGTCATTCATTTTTAAGCTTACACATCAAGACTTTCCAGTAATTTTACAAAGTGTGTAACTTTCACCAAAATCTAATTTGTTAACATTGCTATTGTCCCAAAAAGAAAAGTCATTCCTCTTTACAATCACTCCCCATTCTCACTCACAGGCCCTGGCAATAATTAATGTAGTTTCTGTCTATAAATTTTTCTCTTCTGGAGATTTCATATAAATGGACTCTTAAAATATATGGTCTTCTTTCTTTCACTTAGCATAACATTTTTGAGGTTCATCTGAGTTGTAGCATGTATTGGAACTTCATTTCTTTCTTTCTTTTCACTTAATTTTCTCACAATTCTGAAGTTAAAAGTTTTAAGATTAAGGTGTTGGCAGGTTTGTTTTCTTCTGAGACCTCTCTCCTTGGCTTGTAGATGGCTGCTTCTTCCTCATGTGGCATTTCTTTTGTGTCTGTGTTCTAGTCACCTCTTCTCATTAGGATATTGGTTGTATTGGGGCAGGCCTAAATAAAGACCTCTAAATAGAGACCCTATCTCCAAACACAATCACATTCTGAGGTTCTAAGGGTCAGGATTTTGTCATATGAATTTGGAGGGACACCATATACCCATAACACTTCACCCACTGTCCCCCCCAAAATTCATGCCCTTCCATGCAAAATATATTCACACCATCAATATCTCCCAATGTCTTAACTCATTCCAGCATCAACTCTAAATCCAAAAATTCTTATCAGTAACATCTAAAATAAGATATGTTTCATCTACAGGCAAAATTCTTCTCCAACAGTGAGCCATGAATTCAGACAATAAATTATCTACTTCCAAAGTATAATGGTGATACTGGCTTATGGCAAGTATTCCCATTCCAAAAGGGAGAAATTGGGAAGAAGAAAGGAGTAAGAGTCCTAAGCAAGTCCAAAATGTAGCAAGGAAAATACCTTTAAAATTAATATAGTTTAATTTTTATATGTTTTAACTTAATTTTTTATTTTATTCAAAGATTTTGCTTATTATAATTAAAATCAGTACTATTGCTCATATCTTTTTTTAGAGAGAAAGAGAGAGAGAGAGAGAGAGAGAGAGAGAGAGAGAGAGAATTTTATTTTTTTTCCAGCGGATACAACATCTTTATTTGCATGTGGTGCTGAGGGTCGAACCCTGGCAGCACTCATGCCAGGCGAGGGAGCTACCGCATGAGCCACATCCCCAGCCCCTATTGTTCATATCTTGACCCACATTTCTACAGCACACATCAATATATACAGTTAATTTTAAGCAATATTGAATGAAACTTAGATTTTTAAATTTTTTTTAGTTATACATGGACACAGTATATTTATTTTGTTTATTTATTTTTATGTGGTGCTGAGGATTGAACCCAGTGCTTCACACGTGAGAGGCAAGCGCTTTGCCACTGAGCCACAACCCCAGCGCCTTCAACTAGATTTTAAGGCTCAAGAATAATCCTCTTGGAGCTGGGGTTGTAGCTCAGTGGTAGAGCACTTGCCTGGTATATGTGAGGCACTGGGTTCAATTATCAGCACCACATAAAAATAAATAAATAAAATAAAGGTATTGTGTCCACCTACAACTAAAAATATTAAAGAAAAGGAGGAAGAATGCTCTTTGGCTCAGTGCTCTGTTCCCTTGGCTCAGGCCAGCAGCTGGCATTCCTCTGGAAGCAAGGAGGAGACTTTTCTATCCCCTGGGCCCATCCATAGTCTCTGAGCCCATGGTGGCAATGGCAGCCTCACTGACCTTTGAATCACCTTTGGCCTCATTCTTCCTTGCTCTCAAACATTGATAATGCACCTTCACATCCAGATTGCTCTATCACCCTGGTTCCTGCCTGCAGAATTCCAGAAATCCAACAGCCTTCCTTCATTTTATCCTGCCTCTGTCTACTTCAGTGAAGCAAGCAGTGCTTCTGCTGAAATGGTTGGCTGAATCCAGAAATCACATACCCATTAGCTCTCTTGCAAAATTATCTGACTATACTGTTACTGTTCTTTTCAAACACATGTTCTCAGTTTTTGCAATACGCATGGCTAAACTGAAAATTTTTCAAATCTTCAAGTTCTGATTATTTTTCACTTAATAACTCCTTATAATTCCTGTCGCTCTCCTCTCACATTTTACTATAAACAGCAAGGAGAAAACAGGCTACACCTTCAACACTTGGATTAGAAACATTCTCAGCTAAACCTTCCAGTTTACCACTTAAAAGCTCTACTGTTCAGGAACCACTAAAACACAATAATGGCAAATTCTTTGCCACTTTAGGGTAAGGATTGTCTTTCAGTTTCCAATACATTGCTTATATCCATCTGAGAACTCCCAGAAGCACCTTTTCTTTCATATTTTCATACTTCCTCAGAAATTCTGAACATAATATAACATTAGGGTAGTAGCTTTGTCTTATAGCTTTCCTCTTCCCTTTGAGCCCTCGCCAGAATTTCCTTTAACTTCCATATTTCTATCAAGAGTCTCTTCAAGGCAATTTAGGTTTTTCTGACATTCTACACCAAAATTCTTCTAGCCTGCACCCCATTACTCAGGTCCAAAGCCACTTCCACATTTATAGGTGGATTTTTCAGGTATTTGCCACATAGTATTCCAATTCCAAGTGCCACAATCTGTTTTAGTACACTGGGACTGTCATGACAAAGGGCCACATATTTTGTAATGCAAACGGTAGAAATTTATTTTCTCACAATTCTGGAAGATATAAGTCTAAGAACAAGTGTTGGCAGGGTTGATTTTTTTTTCTGAAGCCTCTCTTCATGGTTTATAAATGACCATCTTCTTCCTGTGTCTTTACATGATCTTTGTCTTCATTTTTTAATAACTGAAAAAAAATTTTTTTTAATAACTGAAAAAACATTGTATAGATGTCCCATATTTGTTAATCCATTAGCTGATGGACATTAGAGTTGCTTCCACTTTTAACTATTGTAAACAATGCTGCTGCTAACATTTACATACAAGTAAATGTTTTATCTTTTATGGATACATTTTCCTTTTTACAAATAGATATCAAATGGTGAGATGGCTGGGTAACAGAGTAAATCTATGTTTAATATTTGAAAAAACTTCCAAGCTGTGTTTTTTTCAAATAAACTGCTGCATTTTAAATTGCCACCACCAATTATGAGGGTTTTCATTTCTCCACATCTTCACCAACAGATGATATTGTCTGTCTACATCTGTAGCAGTCCCAGGGAGTGAGAAGTGGTATTTCATTGTGGTTTTAATTTGCATTTCTCTAAGGATTAATGGCATTAAGCATCTTTTCATAAGATAATTGACCATTTGAATTTCTTCTTTTAGTAAAACATATATTCAGATTTTATTTATTTTTCTTGACCTGTCACACAGGTCACAATGTCTAGTATACTGCTGAATATAAATTGTATGAGCACACATTCTTGCTTTGTTTCTGATCCTAAGGTGTATCATGTTGTCTTTCGTCATAATAATA